CTACACATTAGTTTGGCAAAGTAACCATGCTGGCAAGTTAAAAAAATTCAACCATTTCCAAGTGAGCTATATTATTGAATTGTTCATGATAAAAAATAAATACTTTTGCTATGAACATATAAATATTTAGCAAGCAGAATGTAGGCAATCAACATCATATAAAGTCAGTGATATAGGCAAGAGGGAATGGGGGAGTTTGAGTACAGCTATACTTGGCCAATTTGTTTGTCTTTGATAATCTTATCACTCTACCACATGGAACTCTTGGTAGAGGACAATATATATAATGAATTGCAAAGTTATGTAGTACATGGTGCTACCCATATGTAACATTAGGCAAGGCTATCTACCCATATGAATGGCCATTTATAATAACAGTTGGAATTCCTGTTACTCATATGGTATAATTGCAAATTTAGTTTTACAATAATGACTTTTAACCCTTAACACACACTAACATTCTTGTGTACATGTGCACACGCACACACACACACACACACACACACACACACACACACACACACACACACACACACACACACACACACACACACACACACACACACACAGTTGCCTTAATACCTGAATTACCAACATTTAATGACCTTTTGTAATCTACATTTGATAAGACCAAAGCAGGCTTCACAACAACAACTATCAAGATATGTATACTTGGGAATTAATAATTTCTCAAAGAAAGGTAAATAGCCTAATATATTTTACTCATACTCATGTCAAATAATCATTATTTGGTCTGCTTTTCCTCCTTCAAATCAAAAATATTAGACTGATATCAAGTTCATATCTTTCTTCTCTAATGCAGGACTCAAGGAATGTAACAATCAATAACATACATTTCCTGAAGTAAGAGGGAGCTTTAGCCCTATCTACTGGAATAATATCTAGTTAGTATATAAAGCTTAGATTACTGAATCAACTGACTAAATTAAAATCAAGCTCTGGTACATTTCACTGAGTTATCTTTCTTAACATCTAAAAAAAAGTCAGCTTTTTGTAGAAAAAGGATGCAGTTTCCCACTGATTTCATCTGTAGATCTAACTCATAACTAAGTAAGACTGGGAATACTTAATGTCTGTTGGAATCCTCATTCATCTAAAATATATATACATAATACACCTCATTTTCAGTTTCTGTTTTAACTACCATGAGTACCTATTTAGTGTATAACATCTCTACTGCAACATATAATTAAAAGGAATGTTCTATCACAAAAAGGGCTTTATAATAACTACTGAAAAAACAAAGATAACTGATAGTGCTGTTTTCCATCCAAATGCCCATTAGCAGGAATGTTGGTCATGTTAGGATATAATCCTTTGGATCACATTTCTTCCCTGAACTGTTGAACTTCTCAGTGATATATACACATTTGTCATGAATAATTGTTTGACTCAATTCCAGAGGCAATTCTCATTCCCTGCATGCAAATCAATATTCACAGGAGGTTTAGAATTAGTGCTTACATTCCCCCTTCCTGCTTGAGACAAGAATAAAATGAAAGCTATGCAAGGAATGTCAACTATTCATGGCTTTCAAAATATATGACATATGCAAATAAAAATTACAGCTGATGATAACAATTATATGAATAGGGGTGTAACATCTAATGATATATAATATGAAATTATATAGTACTTTCACTGAATAGTACCTATGACAATAATAATATCTATATTACTGTACTGAAAATGTGTGATTTCACTGTAAAAGCACAAATCTTCCCTAAAATGTACTATTTCCCAATTTCTTGAGCCCAAGACAAAGGCACAGGCTCTTTCCTTAGCCTTGGCACCCGCCCACGAGCAAAGCAAAGGCGAGAACATATGTCTATTTATTTTTTTGTGGAATTAAGTAAACATATCAAACGTTCCCTTTCTCTTTGGCCATTAGTGTCCCTTGGTTCTGTGACGCCTCCTGATAAAAGAGGCCTTAAGAGCAGCGTAAATCAGGGCCCGTTTCCCGCCCCAAAAATACGTTCGTTTGCATGACACTAACAAGCAAACAATTATAATGTTCCCACACCCTTCCCTTCCCTCCGTTCCCTTCTGCAGCCTGATCTCGGTGCCTCACGCCCAAATATCGACTGCACTTGCAACGGAAACTCACTTGCATAGTTGGAATATCCGGATCTATAACGCGGGAGGAAGGAGGAGGCGTTTTCTCAGCCTCATTTAGGGAGATAGTCTGCTGCCTCGACGACCTTCTTGTCACCCACTGCGTTTGTTTGGGAGTACGTGTCCGGATCCGCGACTGTCCTTCGGTACGGCCCATGTCACTTTTCTCCTTCTCTTTAAGTTAGAATTTTGGTGTTTTGTAGGTCTGAGGGTATTTTGAGATTGGGTTGATATTTTGGTTTGGTTTTAATTTCGATGGGTTGGTTTCTGGTAAGTTTGGTTGGCGGATTTTGGGTGTGGGAAGTTAGAGTCATCCAGCGATCGGAACGTCTGGTCAGCTGATTCATGATCCGCGTTCAAATGTTATCCAAAATATACTGTTAATCAGTAGACTACACCTTGGATTCTTTAATAACTAATATGCAAATATTTTTCTGCTGTTAGAGCGCTCATACATATATTAGTTTCGCATCATTATCATTTCGAAACATTTGAACAGCAGCCAAGTTTTTGTAACAGGGGTTGCGGGCACAAAGAGTTTTGCTATTTTTTTTGTCGCAAATCAGCGAGGTATTAAGATTTTAACAGAAAAAAAGAGTCTTTTATATTTTTGTTTTTGCACAGACTAGAATTGGATGAGAGTTGCATTCATACACACAAACACAATGTAATATATATATATATATATATATATATATATATATATATATATATATATGTATATATCTATATATATATATATATATATATATATATATATATATATATATATATATATATATACATATATACACACACACACACACACACACACACATATATATATATATATATATATATATATATATATATATATATATATATATATATATATATAATATTCATTTATATATTCACACACACACACACATATATATATGTATATATATATATATATATATATATATATATATATATATATATACATATATATATATATTTTTTTATATATATATACATATATGTATACATACATACACACATGCTTACATACACACACATGTATATATATATATATATATATATATATATATATATATATATATATATATATATATATATATACATATATATATACACACACAAATACATATGTGTGTGAGTGTGTGCGAGCGTGCATGTGTGGTCCCATGTCGCCTCCAGTGCAAAACGAAGTACACGCGTCACGAGCCAATCTTGAAGTCAAAACCGGATACGATTAAGCGGTGACTAGAACTTAACGTGTGATTCACTAGTCTTGAATTTAGCTTTTTATCACACACCACCAAATGTCTCAAATATTTTCTCATTTGTTCTTCAAAAAAAATGGCTCAAAATAGTCCCAAACCCACGACTCGGTTTGAAGTATAGATTAGGCCGTGGGTCGCGTTCCAGCCCAAAGTCGGTCATAATCGACCCAAAATTTCGGCCTAAAAATCAGCCTAAAAACCCGCGACTTTAATCTCAAGAAATCGCACGGAATTTGCAAAACCTATAATCATTAACAACTTATATTTGTAGCAAGATGGGAAACATTTTATATGCTAACTTATTGCTGTTAAGTATATGACCTGGTTTTATTGATGTTAATGATAATATGACCAGGAAATATATATAATGAAAAATAGGTTATGCAAGTTGTGAAACTAACTTGGTGTATTTATTCATTAATAGTTTACGTAATGTATTGGTGAGATCATCACTTATATATAACGTTGATAGTAATATGCCTAACTTCCTTTGTAAAACTAGATAGCATTTTTTTGTGTAAGTATGAGCTTATATAATACAATATGGTTTCTGAGCTCTTGTTTCGTGTTCTTTAGCTTGCTCTCAAGTATAAATAGATAAATAAATGAATGAGCAAATATATGAATAAATAAAAACTTCCCCTCTGCCATATTTTCCCCGACAAACTTTCCTTAGTAATAAACAACATTTCGCGTAAAAAAATGTATGTCATTACGCAGCTGTAATTTACCTTTCCTTACTTAAATATTTTCCGGCATGTTGCACAGTTTGTTAACTTCCGCGTTACAAAGCAACAGGTTCAGTGCATGACGTCAGGTTTGCATCACAATGGACTCCACTACAACAGGATTGCAACTTCCGCCATATAAGTAGTTTGTGATGTTTTTTTTTCATTATCATTATTTCTTTCTATTTAATGATATGAAAACACTGCCTCGAAGGGTAACGCGATATTTAAATAAAAGAAAGAAACACCTGAATCACCCTCCAAAAAATATCTAAATATCACTTTTATTAAGGTAATAATTAATATCATTTCCCCCATACATTACGCATTCTACATTACAAGCTGTTTCCATCTCTTGTAATTTTTGAACTCTTAATGAGCCAAAAAAGAACAGGAAAGTTAGTGAAATCAATGAAGATGTGGCAATGCAGAATGCGGTCAGGAAGGAAGGAAGGAAGGTGTAAAGGTGTACACGAATAATGCTTGGGAAAAAAGGTGAAAGAAAAGTAAATAGTATAGATATATAGTTGTATTTATTGGCAGTTAGTACAATTACTTGTCTAAATAGACTGCATGAGTTTGTCATTACTATTGTATACAAACACACACATATACACACACGCACACACGCACACACACACACACACACACACACACACACACACACACACACACACACACACACACACACACACACATATATATATATATATATATATATATATATATATATATATATATATATATATATATATTTACATACATACTTTATATATCTGTTTGCGTGTATGCACCCGTGTGCAAGTATGTGCACATCTATTTATGCACATGTACGTACAAGTGTAAAGGGAAAATAAAAGTCTTTCACGAAACAAACAGATTAGAACTGGCAGTTTATTGACCACAGTGCTGCAACGGCCATCATAGAGGAACATTCTACACATAAACAACACAGAAACCTGAAAAAAATTTAAACCGAAGAAAAAAACAAAAACAAAACTAAAACACCACCAACACTCACAAACAAAAAACAAACAAAAACAAACGAAAGAGAAGAAGAAAAAAATCCTCACAAAGAAAAAAGAAAAGAAAAGAGACAGATAAAAAAAAGTCCCCCAGAATCTAAATCTCTCTCGCCCACAGCAGCTCGTAGATCTTGGACCTCGTTCTGTTGTTCCATTTAAAGAGGTTCTCGTACTCGATGTTGGGCTGCCGGGTGACCAGACGGAGGCCGTGGCACGTCAGCTGCTGGAAATAGTGCCAGTACTTGCGGATCCTCTCGGTCAGGCCTGGGGGGAGAGAGGGAGAGGGTTAGAGGGATGGAGGGAGAGAGGGTAGAGGGTGAGAGGGGTGGAGAGAGAGAGAGAAGAGAGAGAGAGAGAGGGATGGAGGGAGAGGGAGAGAGAGAGAAGGATTCTTTGTCATACCTGGAGGGAGAGAGAGAGAGTGAGAGGGGTGGAGGGAGAGGGAGAGAGAGAGAAGGATGGAGGGAGAGGGAGAGAGAGAGAGAGAGAGAGGGATGGAGGGAGAGTGAGAGAGTGAGAGGGATGGGCGGAAAAAGAGAGAGTGAGGGATGGAGGGAGAGATGGAGAGAGTGAGAGAGAGAGGGATGGAGGGAGAAGGAGAGGGGAGAGAGAGAGGGGTGGAGGGAGAAGGAGAGGGGAGAGAGAGAGGGATTCTTTGTCATGCCCGGAGGGAGAGAGGGAGATAGTGAGAGGTATGGAGAGAGAGAGTTTGAAATGATTATAATACTGCTGTTGATATTAATGAAACCATCAGTCTCGATAGAAATATTAGCAAGGATATTGATAATGATACTACTACCACTACTAGTATTACTAATAATGGTAATAATGATAATAATAATTATACTACTACTACTACTAATAATAATAATAATGATATTAACACCAATAATAACAATAACTAACAATAAGAACAATACCAATACCAGTGCCCATAACAGTAATAACACTAATAACAATACTAGTCTTAACAACAATAACTATAACAGTAACAACAACAATAACAATAACAGTCATAACAACAATAACAATACCAGTCATAACAACGATAACCATAACAGTCATAACAACAATAACAATAACAGTGATAACAACAATAACTATAACAGTAAAAATAACAATAACAATACCAGCCATAACAACAATAACCATAACAGTAACGACCCGAGCGGTCCCTCTCACCCTCACTCATGGGATGAACATCGACCCCGATCTGCTTAAAGTTCCCGATAATCTGCCGGGACGAGGAGAACAGATCATCGAGCAGGAGCAGTTCTTCCCCGGCCGGCATATCGACCCACAGGAGGTCAATGCTCGATTCCCCGTGACCTAGCATCTCCATGATTCGCAAGAGCTGGTCCTTCTGGCGGGGAGGTCAGGCTGGAGTTATGGTTGGTTCGTGAAGGGAAGGTTCTGGTGGGAAGTGGTTGTGTTTGCTGTTTTTTTAAGGTAAAATTCTTTTTCTTTTTAAGCTCTTTTTTTTTAAGGTAATTTTTTTTTTTTTTTTGGGGGGGGGGGGGGGTATTTCTCTGTGATTTATAAAGGGAAATTTCTGTGTGTTTTAAAGGGAAAATTCTGTGTTTTCTTAAAGGAAAATTTCTGTGTTTTTTAAGGCAAATTTCTGCTGTTTTTAAGGGAAATTTCTGCTGTTTTTTAGAGGGAAATTTCTGTTGTTTTTTAAGGGAAATTTCTGTTGTTTTTTTAAAGGGAAATTTCTGTTATTTTTAAAGGGAAATTTCTTGTGTTTTTTTAGAAGAGAAATTTCTTGTTTTTTAGAGGGAAATTTGTTATTTTTAAGGTAAATTTCTGTTGTTTTTAAGGGAATTTTTTTAAGGGAAATTTCTGTTGTTGTTTTTTAAGGGAAATTTCAGCTGTTTTTAAGGGAAATTTCTGTTGTTTTTTAAGAGAAATTTCTGTTGTTTTTTAAGGGAAATTTCTGTTGTTTTTTTAAGGGGAATTTCTGCTGTTTTTTTAAGGGAAATTTCTATTGCTTTTTATTGGCATTTTTTTTTTTTTAAGGGAAATTTCTGTTAAGTGTTTGTATTTACTGACTTTTCAAAGGTAAATGTCTGTTGTGTGGATGTTATAGATATGAGATATAGATAATAAAGGAGAGATTATTATAATTTTTAATGGAAAATATCTTTGTTTGTTACAGGTGATAAGAGATATTCTTATGCGACATATACATAAAGAAAATATCATTATTATCATTATTATTAGCTAAATCATTCATCTAGAATCTTCAACTGTCAAGCCCAAAAAACGTTCCTGCATCAAAAATACGGAAACGTTAAATCACTCTCACAAACGTTCCCACATCAAACTTGAGACGTTCCTACA